CTTCTTCAGAATTACTTTCTGAATCACAGTCAGACCAAGTAACAGTCATTCCTTTCTTTTGTTTCTTAAGAAAGGTTGGACATTCAGCTCGAATATGCCCGTATCCTTCACAACCATGGCATTGAATTCCTCTGTCTTGGTTTCCCTTCTCTTCTGACCTTGGTCTTCTGCTGGAACTGTCAATGTCAGAGGGAATGTTATGAACATTAGACCTTGACTTTGGATCTATTCTTTTGATGAGTTTGTTGAACTGTCTTCCAAGCATGGCTATAGCTTCTGAAATATTTTCTTCTTCATCCTCCTTGTTGTCAACATCAGTGTTGGATACAAGTGCTATGCTCTTGTTCTTCTTGTCACCATTTTCAGTGATCCCCATCTCATAAGTCTGAAGAGACCCAATAAGTTCATCCACTTTCAACTTGCTGATGTCCTGGGCTTCTTCTATGGCAGTTACCTTCATTGCAAATCTTTTGGGCAAGGATCTGAGAATCTTTCTCACCAATTTTTCTTCTGCCATTTTTTCTCCCAGTGCTCCTGAGGTGTTGGCAATCTCCAAGATGTTCATGTGAAACTCATGAATGGTTTCATCTTCCATCATTTTTAGATTTTCAAACTTGGTAGTCAACATCTGAAGCCTTGACATTTTTACTTTGGAAGTGCCCTCATGAGTAGTTTTGAGAGTGCCCCAAACTTCCTTGGCCAGTTCATATTGATGTACTAGTCTGAAAATGTTTCTATCAATTCCATAGAACAAGGCATTTAAAGCTTTGGAATTTCCCAGGGCTAACTCATCTTCTTCTTTACTCCAATCTTCCTCAGGCTTCAGGCTGATTGTCCCATCTTTCTCAGTTATGGTGGGATGGTTCCATCCTTTGTCAGCAGCTCTCCAAGCCTTTTTGTCCAGAGATTTTAAGAAGGCAATCATACGAGGTTTCCAGTAGTCATAATTAGTTCCATCCAGAATGGGTGGTCTATTTCCAAAAACTCCTTCTTTGTCCATAGTGCCAGAAAGTGATATCCCTAGATCTCACCCAGTAATACAGGCAGGGTGCCTGCTCTGATGCCAATTGAAATTCTGGCTGCAGATACTCAATGTCACGTTCAATGTTGTGACACCGTGTCTGACTTTCTATAAGACAGTAAATACAAAAATAGTAAAGAACACAGTCAATTGTTTACCCAGTTCAGTGTGCAACAACACCTACTCTGGGGGCTACCAAGCCAGGGAGGAAATCCACTATAAGAGATGTTAATTCAGGAATAAACCAACCAGTTTATCTCCTTCACTTAAGACCTACCCAATGCAATTTCAATCTAAGTACAACTTAAACCCGAGTTCCTACTCACTCCCCCTCAATCACAGCAGTGATACATAAAACAATTTGACTAATGAATTGATGAAGACACTCTTCAAAAACATACACTTGATTAAGCTTCACAGCTTTTTAATCAAGCAACCCAACCACTCTTGCTTCACAGCTTTGAGTGATACACACACCTAACTTGACTCTGCTTCACAGCTTTAGTCAAGAGACATACAAACACTCTTGCTTCAAAGCTTTGAGTGCTACACAACCCTTACAATTAAAAACCTATTCCAAGTCACTTATCACAATGATAATTGCTTGGATTACAATAGTTAAAACTATACAGCTTCTAAATGATCTTCTGTCAAAAAGGGATTCCTTTCAAAACAGCAGCTCTGTTGAATATATAGCAGCTGCATCTTCAGTTAGGGTTTCCCCAAAAAGCTATGGTTAATTCCATTTGACCTTAAGACTAGGTCACAGGACTTTATCAACCAGGTTAGGGTTGAGCTAGGTTAACCCAAAGAAAACGCATGATTCTGTTCTGGAAAGACTGAGTCATTTTCCTGAAAAAACTCAGAATTAACCAAACTGCAAACCTGTTAGTTCAGAACAGGATGTCTTAACATTTGTTATGACATCTGAATTCCTGTTTACTGATTTTGGTAAATGTGATCATTTTGCAAAATGCTCAGATACACACTCATAAACATCAGTACCTGTATGACAATATTTTTCTGCAAAGGTACCTAATAAATCTGTACCTAATAAACTAGAATGTTATGACATCAGTCATGACATTCATACACCTGGTTTTGCCAAAAATGCAAGTCAATACCTAAACAACTACACTTTTAATTATAATGGTGAAATATAATTGTCTTTTAATTTTTTATTTAAAATTATAAATAATTTTTGATAAAAAATATAAGAAATATTTTTTAATTATAACTTTAAAAGTTAAATTTAATTTAGATGACAGTTTTTAGTTTTCATTTAATTAATTATTATGTTATAATTAAAAAAATATTAAAATAGACATTTAAAATTAAGTAAATTCTTGTAAAAAAATGATGAATAATTTATAAGAATAAATTACACTTATATAAGAATAAATGAAATTATTTCGGATATTCATATCCAAAAATTCCTTAAAAATAAAATATTAGGTTATTTTAGATAATGTATATCCGAAATAATTCAATATTAAACTATTGAGTTATTTCGAATATACATATCAGAACGAACCCTTAAAAAATTTAAATTTAGTTTATTCGAATATACGCATCGAAAGTCAGTGATATTTTGAATTTTAGGTGGAAAAAGAAATTCTCAACTCGTTTTAACACCAAAAGAACATGTGCACATTATGATGGCGATAGTTTGCTAATATTATGTTACTTGACGAAATAAGTTGATATGAGACCACAAATAAAGCAATAGAAGTGCTACCAACACTTTCCGAGACTATCATACAATTTACAAAAGAACCTGTACTCCATTCGAGTTCATTATGCTGATATCGTTTAATATAGATAGTGTATATACCTGATAAATAATTTTCTCAGTTTTCATGTTCAACTTTTGTTATTTGTGTGAAATGTTGATTGTCATTTTTTTATAGTTGAGCTTTGGCATGAGAAAGATCATGTCGAACCACTTCTCCAAGAGTAGATGGAGAACTACATGTACAAAGAAGCACATGAATTTCACGATTTTTAAAAAACATTAGCTTTGTTTACATATCATTCATATTGTTTTCTCATAGTTTCTATGTTTCATTTTTCAAACAATTATTCGTACACTACATATGATTTAACTCTTAACTTAGAAAGTGTGTCACATTTCGGTGATTTCAGATTGTTTGCATATCCTTAATTCTTTTTTATCAACCATGGCTGATAACAACTTTCATGTTGCAATGTATCCATGGTTTGCATTAGGCCATCTTACCTCATACCTTCATATATCCAACAAACTCGCTGAGAGGGGCCACACGATTTCGTTTCTTATGCCCAGAAATACTATATCGAAATTGGAGCATTTCAATCTCCACCCAGATCGCATCTCCTTCATTCCAATCACCATACCAGACGTCGATGGTCTTCCTCATGGATCTGAAACAACTGCAGACCTTCCTTTCTCGTTGCATTCCCTTCTCATGACTGCAATGGACCTTACCGAGCCTATCATTGAAAATTCTCTAAGAGAGCTTAGACCCCATATGGTCTTCTTCGATTTCACATACTGGTTACCTGCATTAGCAAGCCGGTATGGCATTAAGGCTTTACATTACTGCACAATCAGCCCTGCCACTGTGGGGTATCTGATAAGCCCCGAAAGAAAACTTCATGAGAAACCATTAACAGAAGATGATCTGCTTTACCCTCCACCAGGTTTTCCACCGTCATCTATTAAGCTTCAACCTCATGAAGCAAGAGGGTTAGCCACCTCCACTTTAAAGGATTATGGCAAAGATATTTCATTTATGGAGCGACAATTGATCTCTCTCACAAGCTGTGACGCTATCATTTTCAAAACTAGCAGAGAAATGGAAGGCCCTTATTGTGATTATCTTGAAAAGCAAATGAGAAAGCAGGTGTTTTTGGCAGGGCCAGTTTTGCCAGATCCGCCAACCTCTACATTAGAAGAAAAATGGGTGACTTGGCTAGGAGGTTTCAAACCCAAGACAGTGATTTTTTGTGCCTTTGGAAGTGAATGCATTTTGAAGAGTAATCAATTTAAGGAACTGTTATTGGGTTTTGAACTTACAGGAATGCCTTTTCTAGCTGCCTTGAAACCACCGATAGGAGCTGAAACAATGCAATCAGCTCTGCCTGAAGGGTTTAGCCAGAGAATAAAGGGAAGAGGGGTAGTTGAAGGGGATTGGGTTCAACAACAATTGATCCTGAGCCACCCATCTGTGGGTTGCTTTGTGACTCATTGTGGATCCGGATCATTAACAGAGGCCATGGTAAATGATTGTCAATTAGTACTACTTCCCCACGCAGGAGATCAATTCATCAATGCAAGAATAATGAGCGGAGATTTAAAAGTAGGAATAGAGGTAGAGAAAAGTGAAGAAGACGGACTTTTTACCAGGGAAGCTGTGAGCGAGGCAGTGAGAACTGTAATAGACAGTGAGAGTGAATTGGGTCATATAGTGAGAAAGAATCATGCTCAATGGAGAGAGTTCTTGCTCAGTCAAGGGCTGGAAAACTCCTATGTGGATGACTTAGTTCAGAAGCTACACAGTCTGCTCAAGTCTTGATTCATTACATGTATTGATGATAATCACATATATGAATGTTATATTCTATGACTCGAAAGTCTATCCTGAGCTATAATTGTTCCTTGACACAAAATTTGCATACTTTTATCGTCTCTCAATTATACGATGTATATTGTGTTTCCAAATTAAATAAAGAAATACAAAAGCTGAAAATGTTGTAGCATAATCACAATCTTAAACTTTATAAAGGAACAAGAAGAGACTAAACTAATACATATTGCAATTCAATCGAAAGCAGTTATTTGCTCTTTCACCATAAATATCAGTGCATAACATGATGTAGTAGTGCTAAGAGAATTCACAAAAAAATTGATTCAAAACATGACCCTTTTCTTTCTGATTTTCCAAAAAAATAACGTGCATGAAATACAAAACCAAACCTCCACGTAGAATTAGGAAAATCATTTCTTTTCACCGGCCTCTGGATTTTCCAACCCGAACCGACGTCTGAACTTGGCAATCTGTCCCAAACTCTCAGCCATTTGACGCTTAGCACGAAAGTGGTAGACTTTACCAACAGGGTGTATCTTTGTCATCATCACATTCATCAATCTACCGGTTTGGGTAACATATGAAATCCATTGCTTTTGTGGGTGCACCCCTTTCTTCATTTCCTGACAATTGGAAGCCTTAACATCAACACACGCATTTCATCAAACACTTGATAGGCTATGCTACACTAACTAATGAGATGTTTATACCAAAATTGAGAACAAGATTGAAAACCCAAGTTTTCAAAACTAAAACAAGATAGATTAAAATGAAGAATTGAGGTTTGGAGTAAAATTACAAGTTATGATTAAACAGAAAAGGGATTTGTATACTTTCCGATAGCGATCTGCGAATTTGTAACAGAGTAATTCAATTTTATTACTGAATTTCTCGGAATCAAAGAGTGTATACACAACTGAAGAGAAGAAAGTAATTTCGGTTGAGGTTAGCATACAATTATTTTACTCACAATTTAGGTAGACGCTAAAAAATTCAAAACTTAAGATTTTGATTTATTATAAGCTTATTTTTGAGGTTGAGTGTGACATTTTCGAAGATTTCAGTTAGTCTATTAGTCTATTTAAAAAACTTATATCATTTAAATATATATAAATAAACAATTCAATTAATGTTTAAATATAGTACATAATCAAAAATATAATGAGACTAAATATTTATTTACATCGACTTATTTGAACTTACTTAGTAGCATAAGTTTTCTGAGATTATTTATTTTATGAGAACTTATATACACAACTTATGTCATTATTCCTAAGGTTTTTTAGTTTATTTTCATAAATTCTTCTTGATAACTAAACTTTATTTTTATATTTTAATATAAAATATAATATAAAAATAATAAATTTATTCATATTTATTATAATAGATATGTCAGATAAATTTTAAAAGTTTTTTCTAGGTTTGCGACCTAACCTATTTAATTAAATAGACTTATAAAATAATCTAGGTCTTTTTTACTTTAAAAAAAATCTAACCTGACTTTGATCTGTGTAGATTAGACCATAAACTCCTGTTAGTCGGTATGGCTCATTTCCATCCCCTACTCGCAATAGTTTGATTTTTAAATAGAATAACTTTTTATATTAATACATAAATATAAATAAATGAGAAAATAGATAATACACTAATAATTTAAAACAAATTAGATGATTTGATAGATTGGTGATTTTCAATTGAATAACCGTGTCAATTTTTTTTATGTATGTCCGTTAAACTCTAAATGAAAAAATAAGTAATACATTGACGGTATAAAAAAAATTTATATTATCATTCAATGAACGACATATATCCTATTATATTATTACTGATAAATTAAAATGAATTTGACGATTTGATAGATTAGTAATTTTTGATTGAACGATCATATAATTTTTTTATACCACAGTGCATATCCATTATACTCTAAATAAATATTAAAATAAATTCTAAAATAATAATTTTAATCTCCATCTCATTCAACTAACCTATATCAAACACACTATTAAGTTATTGTTAGACTTAATTCTTTTAGTTGTTATATTTGTCATATGTATTTACTATTTAATTAATTTTATTACAAGTTAGTTAAATTTTATTAGTTGGTCATAATTGTTATATAAAGTATGTCATATATGAAATGCTGAAATGTATGGAATTATTTGAAAAAAAGTAAAAGAAATGTTAATGAGTGTTTCAAGGCAATCATTAAGAGATTAAATGATACTTCCTCTATTCATTATTACAAGCAAAGATTTTTTTTAGCTTAATGTATCTGATTTACATAAAAGTTAAATGTATAAATTATTTAACGAATTTAAAAAAAAAATCTTTACTTATAATAGTGATTAAAGAAAATAATTTTTTTTTAAAAGATAAAACTTGCAAACAATTTCATATGTCCACTTTGTACTGTTGTCCAATTATAAAAGGCTAAATGGATTTTGTTTAACATTGTAATTATTAAAATGAATTTTATTTTATTATTATTATAGAATTTAATTACATGTATCACATTTTCATATGGCAACAACAAATATTAGGAGAACTGTACGTAAGTTTTTTCTTTTTAGAAATATGTGGAGAATTGTACGTAAGTTTTTTTTTTAGAAATATGTGTATTTAACGTATTAGAAATTGAAATAATTAATTTTTATAAAGAATATTTTCTTTATTTATAATCTATAAAGAGTACTATGGAGGCATTTGTTAGCATGACCTAAAAAGTAATGGAGAATAAACGAATTAAAACGGTTCCATCATTAAAATGTTTCATCAACCTCTTCTGATGTGTAAAGTGACGTAACCAGCTAGGACATGTCACAGTTTACAGAGTACTTGAGTGCATTCGAGTTGGCATGTATCCATGAATGAAAAGCTAGTTGTTGATCTTATAATTTCTTTCTCTAGTTAATTTGAACACTACAACTGTTATTGCTTATAAATATGGTGAATTGATTTTTTTGGAAGTTTTCGCAACCCTTAGAGTTCAAATTTATAGTTACTTTCTCGGATAACATCCTCATTCCCTCATCTTGGAGAGTTTTACTAGAATTGATTTCAGTGCTTTGCATAAAGCTTTTGCCTTTCTTCATCTTCTCATGCTTCATCAATCTCACATAACCAGGTATCATCCTAACTCAAGCTTTTATCTTCAATATTTTTTATTTTCTCGTCAAGATGAGTGATAGCACTGTTGATCTAGAGAGCGATTTTGAAGTTGAAACTTCATCCGACCCTTTAATGGGGACATCACCTGATTCTCATCTCCCTCCTCTTGATAACGATCACCTAGAACTAGAAATCATGCCCTTGTCCAACGATTCTGACTTAGAAAGGGTATATGAGAATTCCTTGGAGAAAGAAACTTCTTCATCTGGTTTGTTAGACACCCTTTTATCAAATGTTAATAGAGGAATGAATCACGTTGAGGTCCCTATGCCCCTCGTATTTTATATGAAGAGGAAATACAAACCGATTTGCAAAGAAGAGAAAGTGCCAAAGATTATATCCAACTTCATGTGAAGACTAATGGTACTTGTGAGCACATCGATGTTAATGTGAAAACCCACTTAGATCTTCGAGATCAACTGGATTCGGTGGAGTACAACTGGGTGGCATTATGGTCCGAGCTTCCCTGAAATGGTTAGCTCATAAAGTGGAGCCAGAAAAGAGGATTTAAAGTTCTTTTTATGACTGCATGATTACATTCAATGAGTGTTTGTTTACAAGAATATGGTTACAACTTCCTTTTTATGACTTTGATGTGGCCTTCTTAAAATATTTAAAAGTTTCTCCTTCCCAACTTCATGCGGGATCTTGGGCGTATACAAGGGTATTTCAGTTGTATGTCGAGCATAAATCTTGGAAGCATTCTCTTAGATTATTTTTTTAATCTTTTCCATCCGACGCACACTTCTCAGGACAACTTCCATAATCATGGGTCATTTGCTTCCATTAGGCTAACCCTTCATTCGACCCTTTTGCTCTAGACTATGGCAACTTCATGGGGTGTTTCTTGTGGGAAAAGCCCCTCACACCCATGACCCATCTCATTTTCTGTTATCTCCCTGCCGATTCTCCATGATTTTGTCGAATTTTTTATCCGAAGTACTTATCTAAGATCCACTTTAACTAGGATACTCACTCATATTGTACCAAGTCAGATTATTTTTCTCCAAACGAGGTGACAATGAAGGAGTAAATGAAATCTTGGTTTCAAGGGCTTGACTATGACAAAGGTTTCAGACCTGATGAGGCAGACCTAATGAGGTGAGAAAAAGGCAGATTGACACTCATGCTATTTTGAGTGAACTACCAAAGAGGAGAGGAGAAATATTTTTGGTGAGAGTCGATTCCTCGTGCTTTTTTACATGTGTGATTGCATTTACGGATAGCATGGAAAAGGTAAACAAGCTAAAGCTATTTCATAACCTTGCAAATGCTCAAGGTATTTCGACCGTAGTGAATACCAAGACTTCTACCTCTGCCCCATCTCCTCTAGCGATCACTATTTATGATTCGACCTCTTCTCCTACCCCAACTATAGAGACTCCGACTTCTGCTCCTGAGGTGGATCAACTTGTAGACATTGCAGCCACTTTATATGTGGAGGAGTTAATTATGTCTCTGGTTTCAACAAAGAGGGCCCAGAATGAAGATCAACAATTTCCCCAAGATGAGAGTTCTCCAAAACTAACTCGTTTCACCGAGGGTGGTGCTTCTAGGGAGGTAACTTCCTTCATGCGGATACCAAATGTCTTCTCTTACCGGCTTACTTGCACTCTTGAGGAGGCTGCCGTTATCGTTTCGATGTCGGATCTGTCTTTCATTCAGAATATTCCTCAGGGGGAGAAAATGGAAATCATCTTTGAGCTTGCTCACAACATTTTCAAAAATGATTCTATATTTTCCCTTATCTCTACTGGCCAGGGAGACGTACTGGCTCCAGGTAACCCCACCAAGGAAAGGGATACTTGGAAAGGGAAATGTGAAGCTATGTATTTGAGGTGCTCTACACTTCAGAAAAAGCTTGTTGCATTGTAGGAGGAGGTTAAAGTTTCCAACTCTTTGCAAGAAGAGACAAAAATCCACGGGTCTCCTTACACTTTGGTCGCTCGGGTAGCTAAGTTGAATGATGATCTTATAGAGGAGGATAAGTAGTATCAAGATGCTTACCAGGATTTTTCTTGGATGTAACAATATTTTATATTTATAGAAATATTTTTACATTGATGATTCAATGATGATTCAAGTGTTTTTCATCTTAGATATTTGTATTTGCCTTTGCATTATCATTGCCGTTGTTTATGAATCGATGCAACTCCATGGCTTTCTCTTTACCCTATGAAGTTTATTTGTTTAGGTCGGACCACCAGCGTCTATAAACTATGATGATATGTATGTTTTAGGCATGAGAACCCTAGTTGCATGCTTTATGAAGGAAACACTGCATTTTATTCTAATAAATTGGCATATGTGCCTCTGGAATTTTCCTACTTTGTGATTTGCGACTTATTGCATTGAATGTTGTTAGGTACCATTTTTTATTGTTATACTTGTTCATTTTTTTTTGGTTTACTATAGTAGTATATTTATTTGTGTATTATGTTTGGTGAGATACATGTGATGTGATCCTTGGGGAGAGGCCTGGGATAGGTGAAATCAGTGTGATATGGTTATGTGTTTGTACTGTGCTCTGTATAACATAAGAATCTTCCTCGGTGAAGGGTAGGATCCCCGTCCCTGCCCCCCGAGGCTCCACTCGGATTGAGGTGGAGTTGTATAGACCCCGCCACCCATTCCTTTGGATTGGCTAGATCTGAAATAAGGGGTGCGCCAGTTATGCAAAAATACGTGTAGTATGCATCAAATGAGAGATCATGTGAGGTGTGCGTTTAAGCCGTATCAGAATAGCATAAATGTGTTAAGCCTGTATCGGATACACAATCAGGTATGGACTGTGTTTAAGCCGTATCACAATCACATAAATGTGTTTAGTCCGTATCGGAAACACATTCATGTGAAAAATGCGTTTAAATTGTATTAGAATCGCAAAAATGTGTTAAGTTTGTATCAGATACACAATCAGGCATGAAATGTGTTTAAGGCGTATCAAAATTCCAGAAATGCGTTAATTTTGTACCGGATACACAATTATGCATTTTATCTTTGTTACCTATGTCTTGAGCACTCTAAAAGAAAGAGAGACAAAGAAGTAGACAATAGAGGAAGAAAAAGAAGATATATATATATATATATATATATATATATATATATATATATATATATATATATATATATATATATATATATATATATATATATATATATATATATATATATATATATATATATATATATATATATATATATATATATATATATATATATATATAATTGAATTCATTACAAATAAACAATGAAATGACTAGATAGATAAATCTTCAATGGTGACTCTATTATAGTCGAATGTCGCCCTGAGCCTTTGGTATCTATCCTTTCCAGGGGTTTCGGGGTGTATTTCCCTTCTTTAAGGCATCTTATTTTCTTGGACAAGGTGTTGAGGTATCTCGCTTTGTATCTGGATGCCGACATATAGTTGAATAGTCAGCTCCTCGGGGACGTAGTTTGAGGACGACTGTTGGAGTCTTAGGATTCCAGAGCTTCCTTTATTGAATATCCTAACAAGGTGATTTTTGGTCACTGGGCTGAAACTTTAGGTCTCTTTTGTTACTCCTAAGTGGGTATCTACCTCAAGTGGCTGGTAGGTGACTGAGAACCTGCTTGTGGGTGATTCGGTATGATGATCGGCTTTTCCAAGCTGCGAGATATGGTTAGAGGGAGGTGAAGATCCTTGAGATGATAACTCTTCTACCTTCATGAGAAGAGCTCAAATTGCTCTTATCGTCTGGAGATTCTCTCAAAGTTCGGTGTTGTTGGAAGATGCTAGGTGATGGATCAAAGGTGAATGGTGATCTAAAGCAATCCTGAAGGGAACTTGCTCTCTTTGCTATTACGACCCGGGACCACTTCATAACTTTTATGAAAATTCGCGTCTTAGTGGAAACCATTGCTTTCACTGAGAAATCTAAGGCTGCTACCTACCGATCTCCTTGCAACCATATTCTGATATTTCTTTCCTCATGTACTCTTGATGAACCTATACTATTTTATCCAACATGAGGGGACCATGGTGAATTAAGTGGAAATTCAGTGGTACATATACGAGGTACCCCAATGTTGTATTGGCGCTCGATGTTAACTATGAACTCGCCGTATCTGGGCATCATTAACTATGAACTCATTATATCCTAACATTATCATCACGGTAAGTATCACGTCGATGGTGGGAGACAAAGATGTTAGATTAGAAGATAGAACATGAATCTTTAGTGTTATCTTCGATGAACTCGTCTTCACTTTCTGATGCTTCAGTCTTGTATTTGGATCTGGATCTAAGATCATTTCTTCTCCTTCTTATTGGAGTTCACAAGGGAAATTAGAGATCTAGTGAGTCACCGTTGAAACGATAGCCACCTAGATCGAATACGACGGATCTCTGCATTCAACTAAGAATGCTCTCGATTCGATTATTTAAGGAGGTGTTGCACCCCAAAATTTGCCCTCTCATTTCACAAGGGATCACCCTGGATCCCAGGTTTTCTTTTATCAAGTTTCCAAGCCTTGAATTATCAATTTTGCCAAGCAAACCATTCACAAGGGCAAAGCGATCATTTGCACGCTGAAAAGTCAAACTTTGACTTTTGGATCAAAATCAAATCTCAAAAATCATATTTCATCAAGACATGTTGGAATATGAAGTTTGTATCATCAAAAAAGTTCAAAAGTCAAAATTACTATGGAAAAGCCAAATTTCTAAATACTTGGGATTTTTCCTAAGTATTTAAGAAAAATGATACTTCAGAACTTCTGAGCCAGCCTCCAGGCAGGAGCAGTCAGAAGATGTAAACATGGTTCAACACATGGCCTTCAGTCAGAACATGACTCTTCAGCATCTACGCAAGTTCAGTCAGAGTTTGCCAGGGTAATGCAAAAAAGGTTATAAAACGTGATACAAAGCCTGAAAGCTCCTTCAGAACATGCTGGAGCCAGAAGATAAGAGGAGCAGAAGATGGGTTGCTACGCTGAAGCAGAACTTCTGATCCAGAACTAAGCCTTGGTGTAGAGTTTCACGTTGTAGGATTTCTGGTTGTGATAAGTCTCATCATCATTTAATGCTCATTAATGCTCACAACCACTTATGAGTCTTTACCCAAAGGATTTTCACCACGTGTACCTCTACTGCCTTGGGATAGCAACTTTGCTACTAAGCCCATGCTTTAATTTTTACTTTTCCTTAATTCCTACTGACAACCACCATGTTTACTTCAAGGACAAGGCAGGGCTTCAGCACATGAAGGCTATATATCAACGCTTTGATCAGAACATGACCAAATCCCAAAACCTTGTTTATACAACTTGCTTCAGACCTGTGACCAACAGCTGGCTCAACCTACGCCTGCACCTCATGATTACACCAAACTAGCATACGAAAACTGTGATGAAAAAGCAAAAGAACAGGATGCCAAAACAGGTTCAAATCCCATTTGTTTTCCCCCCCAAATCACAGCAAATTCATCTATAAATACTTGGCTCCATAACACGGTCAGGGGGCTGGCTTTTGAGGGGAGAGATTGGCAAAAAGAGATAAAAGGAAGTGGTGAAACCTTCATAAAAATCCAGAAATCCCAAACAGAAAAACAAACCTTTGTTCTTCCCTTTGAACCAAAGAACACGACCACTCTTCCGTCTCTCTTGCTGATTCAGAACATCCAAAGGCAGCCACTCAAAGCTCCAAGCACGCTCCAGGTAAGTCTTTCTGACTTTACTTGTTTTTCATTCAGAACATCATTTAGCATGTAAATATCATAGTATTAATGTTGTATATATCATTGCATGAATAGAAAAACCATGGATCAGAACTTCTAGAATAATGCTAGGCCCATACTTAGGATTAGAACTTCTATGAACTGTTGTGTTGTTATTCCTCTGACTTGCTGTTCGCCAAAAATGAATGAGTTGCTGACGTGCTGATTGATATGAGAAAAGAATTGAAATGTAACACATAACTTCTGTTTTTCACTCATCATTTTAACACACAGAACTTCTAGGATCTTCTCACTGTTTTAAGCACGCAGAACTTCTGTGTTCTCTTCATTGTTTTAACACACATAACTTCCATGATTTTTCTCACTGTTAACACACACTGAACTTCTAATGTTCACCCACTGGCTCAGCATAATACTGAACTTCTGATGTTCACTCACAATCTTAACACAACACATAACTTCTGAGTTCTCCTCACATGTCAAATACACTGAACTTCTGATGTTTCCATCAATTGTTTTCAAACACTCAGAGTTTATGAATTTCACATGCTGACAATGTACTGAACTGCTGACGTTTGCTTATTGTTTTAGTGTAATACAGAACTTCTGACTTTTGGTTCACTGGCTGCATACCACCCAGAACCTCTGTGTTTGTCCCCTAACATTTCTTGCAGGACCTCAAAATTTACCTGTTCAGAACTTCTGAACTTCTGATATTCATTGATGTTTTCTGCTGAGTCACGCGCCTGGCTTCAGAACTTCTGATCCTTGTTTCTTTGTTTGCAGCAACACGCTTTTTTCTATTTTTGCATTTATTTTCCTTTTCATCTTTTTTTTATTAACATAAAAAACATAAAAATATTTTCTTTTATTTTATTTCCTTAAGACAAAAACATTTTCTAAAACTAGTCCATTTCCTTGTACATTCTTATACATTTCAATATGGTTGTAATAATAACTTAGGATTTATTTTTACTTGCAATCCCCATTCATAAATATGTATCCCCATCCCCTAAATATTGTAATAGCGTAGAACTTTACATTTCTGCAATTTATCACTTTCAAATGTAAATGCTAGTAATTAGGCGTGTATGGCAAGATAAAATCAACAAGTAGACCACCAAAAATCAAAGACAAATGCATGCAATCAAACAC